CGCGACCCTCGGGAGATAGGGATTTAAATAGAATTTGAATAAATCCCCCTCCTCAGGCGGGAGGTTGGAAGGAAAGGATGGAAGGGGACAGGGAAGGGGGAGGGGGCAGTTGGGGTGTCTCAGCCCCCCTGGTCCCCCGGCCCCGCGCTGCCTCGGCCCGGGGCCCTGGCTGCCTCTCTCATCCCTCCTCAGCTCCTTCCTCCTTCCTCCTCTCTTCCCCCTCTCCTCCCTCCTCCTTCCCTCCTCCTCCCCTTCTCCTCCTTACTCCCTCCTTCTCCTGGAAGAACCCCGCCCCCTGCCCCCTCTTTCCTCCGCCACCTCCACGTTCCAGGACGAACGCGCGCAAGGCACGACGGGAGTTGTAGTCCTGCGGACACTGAAGCCACGACAGGAACAATCGGAAGCTGGGGTCAACGAGGACTACGAACAAGATGGCGGAGGGCGTGCCACGCCGAGAGCCGAGGATGCCGGGAATTATAGTCCGGTTGCCCTGAGGCTCCCAGTAGCAGAACATAGAGAAGGAGCGGGAACGATGACTACAAACAAGATGGCGTTCTCCCCCACCCCGACCTCCTTCCCAGGCGCTCACACGCCCTCCTGTCCACAACCCTCCGCGTGTGTGGTACCTGACGGGAGTCGCAGTCCATCTGCTGCCTTCCCGCTGCCATTTCTACTCGTCAGGAACAATGGAAAGGTGAAAAGGAACGAGGACTACAAGCAAGATGGCGGAAGAGGGCCATACACCTGACTAGTAGTCGATCTTACGAGGTGCGATGGGAATAGTAGTTTTCTAGCCTTCTAGTGTTCCTTAAGAATGGCCGAATCAGGAGGATAAGGAGACTACCATAAAGATGGCAGGCTACCTAGCTTCTCCCGGTCTCCTCATTCTATCACCTTGGGCACCTCACCCGCCTGTGATATCGAAATCCTCCCCCGCCCCCTGGGGCGCAAAGCCTGACGGGAGTTGCAGTCCTCCGGCTCCCCTCTATTATCTTCAGTCGAGACAATGGCAGGGAGTGGGGCGGGGACTACCGGCAAAGATGGCGGCCGAAGGGCAGGGGACAGCGATGTGGGACTTGTAGTCTAGGCGCTAAGGCTATTCCCTGCGGAAATGGGGAGAAAGACTACAGTAACCATAGCTGCCTAGCCACTCGACCTCTGCGCCAGTGCCTGCTGGGGAACGTAGTCCCTTCCTGACTTCCACAGAGAAAGGACGTTGGCTGTAGAAATATGCATCACCGCCGACTCGCCAAATTGCTAGCCGAGGGAAACGGAAAATCTTTCCTCCTCTCCCCATCACCCCCTCGGAAAAGCCTGCCAGGAAATGTAGTCCCAAGTTTTCTCTCGTTAGTGGAGGAGGAGACGTTATGTCACCAGTGGAGATCAGTGCAGGTGAAAGAGAAAGACGTCCGGGTGATCCAGCAATATAGAATGTCCACCTCGTGCGGCGAGGACTTCCCATTTCAAGGGAAGGCTCTTAAAGGAAAGCAACAGTAATTATTATTGTAGCGACAAGAGAGGCGTGGTTCTCGTCGAAAGCACACTCACGCTCTTGTCCCTTGGAAAACGTGGGGGCCTCACACTCTATGCGTGTTCCCACAAAACTACAGGAATCAGTATCTTACAAGTCGTGAGGGCTCCAGGGAAAAGGTTCCAGAGTCATACAGAATCCCCACTCTGCCCCACGAAGTCACCAAACCTCGGTTTTCTCATCTGAAAAATGGGGATAATGGGGATAATGGTACCCACCTCGAAATAGTTAGGCATGTTAAACGAGACAATGTACTTGTCACGAAAGTGCCCAGTCCTGGCATGGGGCACGTGTTGGTAGTTGCTTTTTCAAGGTCCCTTCCAGCCCAGCCGTTCTGGGAGCCCGGGAATCCATCATGCCGGACGGAGTTAGCTCCTGTGAGAAGACAACTGTGACCGGCAGGCTACCCCCATCTCGAACCGCCCTCCGCCCCTCCTCTCTGGGTCCTCCAACGTCTGCTACCGAGCACTGCTCCCAGGGGGCGCTCATTCTCCATTTGACTTACAGGCTGGCCAAATTCCTCAACCTGAAGTTGCAGGGGCTGCGTGCTGCCCAGCCCATCCCCTGCCTGATTTCCAGTCAGCCTTGGACGCCTCCGTCTGGACACTGCAGCTGCCTAAGCAGGTGGGACTGTTCCCCACCTCTGTGCCTTCTTACCTGCCTTCTTGATATTCCTCCACTGCCTGGAAAACTGCTCACTTCTGACCCTGAGGCAGCCCCCTCTGCTTCTCTCTCTCTTCTGTGTTTGGGGCCCTGCGGGAAGAATTGGTGGGTGTGGTTTTTCTGTCAGGGAAGTTAACACTTGCCAGTGTGGTGTGAAGTCCCAAAGTTGCAGGAACTGGCCTCAGGCTGAGCTGAGGCTCCTTGCAGCTCACATTTTATCTGGCAGGAAACATTGGCTCTTACGGGATTGTGTGTCTTCTCTTTGTCCTTACTGCTTTCACTTGGGCTTGCACAAATGATTACTTCAGGGCATTCTCAGCCTGTTCCCTCTGTTCCCTCTGCCTAATATGCCCTTGCTCTGCTAGCTCCCATCTTACTTCTCCACCCAGTTAACTGTTCATCTTTCAGGTCTCTACTTACATGCTAATGTCCCAATAAAGCCTTCCTGTAATTCCAGGATGAGATTCATTTATTGTCTCTTCCACTAGATAGTAAGCTTTTTGGGGAATCTACTTCACATGTTACTAAGTGCTTTCAGCATCTCCTTCGATCCTCATGAGAATCCTATGAGGTAAAATCCCATTTTATAGATGAGGAAACTGGGACCCTCAACTATACAGAAAGGATGAGTGGTAGAGCCAGAATTCAAACCCAAGACTCCAGAGCCCATGCTCAGAACTACTACAACATCCACAAACTGATCAGATCCAGCTATGTGTGTGTTAAGTTTGGCAGCAACAACAAATTTCTCATGCAAAAGTGGTTTTCCAGTTTCTAGCAACACTGGGCCTGCATTCCCTGAGTAAGAAACAGCTGGAGCTGAGCAGTGGCTGCCCATTTTGGCCAAGACGATATGCTCAATAGTTCCCCACAGTCTCACCTAGCTTTCTTCAGTCCTAATGCAAGCATTATTGGCCCCATTCCATCAATGAGACAACCAGAATAGCCCTATTGCAGGCCAAGACCATTTCTTATACTGTGTATAGCCCCTCAGTGCTGGGTGCTCTGCCTGCACCAATAGCTGGGTGAGTAGGTGGATGGCAGGGTAAGATTGCATATAAAGATATAGGAAAACTTAGTTTTTGCTTTATAAGTGAAATTGTTACCATGAGCAGATATTATTTGCATACTTAAAACATGAATTGAGAGGCTGAGGCGGGAGGATAGCTTGAGCCTGGGCAACATAGCAACACACTATCTCTAAATAAGAAAAATTAGCTGGGTATGTGGTAGTGTGCACCTATAGTCCCAGCTACTCAGGAGGCTGAAGCAGGAGGATCACTTGAGCCCAGGAGTTCGAGGCTACAGTGAACTATGATTGTGCCACTGTACTCCAGCCTGGGTGACAGAGTGAGATCCTGTCTCAAAAAACAAAAATATATAAGTTGAAAATACTATAATCCAGCTATGTTAACATTAAAACATAAAGACCTCTTTACACCTCTTCGAACATCAGTGAACTCAGGGAATATAGCACCTATAAGCGCTTTTTCATTTGTAAAAAGATGATATTTGTTTTCTGTCTTATTTCTACACTTTGTTTAAGAAACTTTGACTTAAGACTACTCAGTAGTAGTTGTTTCCTGTGTGAGGGCCTGGGCCAAGGGGCTGCAGACCAGTTTCAGAAACAGGTTCTGCCATTCAGTCTTCATAGGGGAGCTGCTGAAAAGGAGGACACCTGCCTGCTACCTGGGAATGAGAACATTGAATTGGGGGGGAGGGGTGGCCCATTCATCCTGAGGTCCCTTTTTTGCAATAGCTGCCCTTCCTTCTCAATCTCTTCTGGACCCAGCCAGGGTAGGCTGGGATATGCTGCAGTAACAATACTCACATTTTGGTGTTTTATAAAAACAAAGATCTGTTTCCTGCTCATGCTGCATGTCCACTGTTGGTCAGTGGGGGAAGTCTGCTCCTTGTAGTTGCTCAAGAAATCAGGCAGAGAGGCTGGGCACAGTGGCTCACACCTGTAATCCTAGCACTCTGGAGGCCGAGGCCGGTGGATAGTTTGAGCTCAGGAGTTCAAGACCAGCCTGAGCAAGAGTGAGACCCCGTCTCTACTAAAAATAGAAAGAAATTAGCTGGACAACTAAAAATATATAG